ACTCATTGTTTCATCTTAGTGTAAACTATGGTAAACAGTTTTATGCTAATGGCAATGTAATAATGAGAAAGAAAATTATGTAATCACAGAATAATGGGATACATTATAATTTGAAGGGTAGAGAAGGAAAACTGGGAGAAATGCTGAACTTTAGTGCTCTTCCTTCAACTGCAATCCAAAAGAAACAGCATGTGGAATCTAAAATATCACACAAATGACCTTATCTACAGAACAGAAACACTCACAGACATAGAAAGCAGACTTGTGGTTGGTTGCCAAGGAGGTGGAGTGAGGAAGGGTCGGAGCTGACGTTTGGGGACTAGCAGATGAAAACTATCATATATAGGGTGGATAACAACAAAATTCTATTGTATTGCCACAGGGAACTATATTCAGCATCCTGTAATAAATCATAATGAAAAAGAATATGAAAAATATATATTAATATATATATAACTGAATCACTTTGCTGTACATCAGAAACTGACACAACGTTGTAAATCAACTATACTTCAATAAATAAATAAAAGAACCAGCCAATGAAAAAAATGGTGCTATTGGCATCATCTCACATGAATTCCTCTCTGAATACTAGGATCCCATTTTAGTGGTTGAAATATGAACTCTGGCAGCTAGAATTCTTGGGTTCAAACCCAGGCTCCACAATTATTGGATGAGTGTCCTTGGACAATTTAGTCTCACTGTGCCTCAGTTTCCTTGTCTGGGAATGGAGATAATAATAGCATGTCCTTTAAGGGTGCTTAGGAGGGTCAAATGAGAATAACATGTGTAAAGCACTGAGAGAAGTGCCTTCTTTGTAGCAAACTGTTAAGTACTGATTGCTATTGATGTATTATCTTTCTTATTGTTCATTCACCAAGTCTGAACTCCCCAGTGGTGTCCTGGGTGAGGAGGAAGTGTCCAGGGAGTTTCTAGACAGACCATTTTGCTCGCTCACATTGTGAAAATTTGCTGACAGTTGTTATTTTTCTTTCTGGGAAGCAAGGTTCCTTGCCTGGCTGCCATTCCCCTTTATTCAGACAAATACACTATGATTTGCTCATCCCCAATAAACCTTGGATAGTTTTAGATTTATAAATTAACTCGTTATTTAATTATCACACTTTGGAACACAATCACCCATCTGTGACCACATATTAAAAAACTAGAGGTGTATTCAGTATTTACTAAAACTCTCTCTTAACAGAACATGCATCTTAATTCTGGAAATATCTATTTGGCCCAGTGCATATTTCTTTCTCTCTCATAACTAATACTGCTTTTTTGTCTTTCAGCATATGTAAACAGACTAATAATAAAGCTGAGAATTTGTCATTTAAAATATTGTAGGTCTCAAACACAGTCAGTAATGTTCAAAAAGTAGAGAAACATTTAAATCTCTTTGGCAGAAGTGTAGGAAAGCAGGAACAAGGGCATCATTTTTCAGAAAGTATTCTCAGACAAATCATTCTCTGAGAGATTAAAAAAAAATCAGTCATGCAAGGCACACCCCTTTGCTTCTATTCCACTTTATCATGGCAATCTCCCCTACAAAATTGAGGTTGTTCGTAAATATTTTCCTTCCAAACTGTGGGAAATAAATCATGAGTAACTTTGGATCTCTGATAAAGTTAGGTTAGGGGACTGCTTATCATTGAAACAATGAACACAAAGGCAATTCAGTCCTGGGGCCTCTGACAAAACTCTCAACAGCTGAGGCAGCGCTCACGCTCCTTGTTCTCAAGCATTCCAGGGGAGTGGCAAGGGGACAGCCAGCACAAGGAATTTTCAAGGTTTTTTTTCCCACCCTTCAGAGCTGATAAGTCTCTACTCATTTAGAAAGGGATTTGTTCTGCAAGAACCCTAAGTATCCCAAAGAACTATATTTACCCTTAACAGGCCTTGCTCTCTGTTTAATCTAGCCAGATGGACACTGCTTTTTGGACTCACAGTCATATCCCTACAGATTTGACCTCATTTAGCAGACACTATTAAAAGATTATCCTATGATTGAGAATTTCCATTGCATCAAATACTAAATATTAGTAACATTCCTCTGTGGGGAAAGTGATGTAATAAAAGGGCATAGACTGAGTTGACCTCAGACAAATTATACAAATAGGTATGTGGAGATTATGCAACTAATCTGCTGGCCAATAAAGCCCAGCGTTTCAGGGAGCAAAGCTCTGGGGGCAGAGACTTTCCCACCAGCTCTCGAAGGAAGTGTTCATCTGCAGCCACAGATGGAAGCTGTATGTGATTCTGTTGCCTTGGTACCGTGATGGTTATTTTGAAAGATGCCAAGGGTGAGAAAGTATACAGAAGTGTGGCAGAATGATGGAACGGTGGGATGGGAGTGGGGTCATGAGGCGGCTTCCCCACATTTCATTTTGCTCTTTTACAAGTGGGGAACATGAGGCTTCTTGCCCCCCACCTCCGCCACGCCTTTGGAAGCCAACAATGCTCATAGGAAATTCAAACGGCAGTAAAGGAACTACAAACAATATGAAAACCAAGACATTAAGAAATGACTGTTGACAGGGGCCTGTGTTTTAGAATGTTCCCAGAAAAGGTGTTGAAGAGTACCTAGTGAAGATTCTAATCATAAGGACTGGATTCTGATCAAAGACATCTTTTACAAGTTGCTTGTAAATGGAAAGCCATACAGAGGGGCCCAGCAATGGGGTAAACTAGCTAAATTAAATTTTTGCTATGATTTTGCTTGAACATACTTTAAAAACAATTGATTAAATCTTAATTGTTTAAAAAATAAGTTACAAGACCAGTACCTAATCAAGAAAAGAAAGTCAAGCAATGCAGACATGTGCAAAATAAAAGGTGAAAGCCTCCCTCCTTCTTTCCCCTGCAGGGGCAACTACTACTATTATATAATCTATCTGTCAGACCTTTTGAAACACTGTATATTTATAAATGTGTTTTAGGGGTGGGAACTAATACTGTATGTATTGTTCTGTTATTTTCTTTTACTGAATAATATATTATTAGCATCTTTGTACTCTTAAAAAATAGACATCATTTATATTCTTCTTTCCAATGGTTTATTTTATGTAAAGTGAAATGGAAATGAAGGCAACCTGGCAATTCTGAAACTTAAGAAAATCATATACTTTATATATTTAAAATATTTTTCTTGATACAATGTACTTACCACTATGTTTTGTTAGTTGCTTGTAAATTATACCTAGTAGGTAGATAGCAATCCATCTACCAGGATAAGATAGGAATAGGGAAGACACTGAGACCTATGCTACAGGTTATAAAAGCAGATTTCCTAAGAGTATGTATAGTATAATTCCAGTTCTATAAAAGATATTCATATGCATAGAAGGCAGTCTAACAGCATCTACACTGAAATGCTAATAGTTGTTATCACAGGATTGTTGGAGTATAGCCATATTTTTCTCTCATTATGGTTTTCTGTATTTTCAACAATGAAATTTTACTGCTTTTAAAATTAGTTAAAAAGTAAATGTAATATAAAAATGCAATGCATCTGATGAAAAAAAGCACACATTCAACAGCTACAGAAAGTAAACCCTTCTGAATTAGCTTCCACTCCATTCCCAAACCCCATGATATTTGATTTTCTTAATTTAAGGGATTAGAGTTGAGCTCCTAGATTGAGAAAAACCAGTCTTTAGCATCAGTGAAAGAGTTGATCAGAAAACGAGGCAAAAATAAGGAGATCATATTCCTTTATTATATAAGGAAGTATAAAAAACTTAACAGAGCAATATATATATATATATTTTTTGCTAGTCCACAGGACCTCAGGAAAAAAATATGTTCTGTATGTGAAGTTAATCTTATGGCACTGTGGTTCACGTTTTCTATATTCAAGTACAGAAGAAATGGTATGTATAGTGGTATGATGGATACAGAAGATGAATAATAATGAAAAACTGTAATTTGGTGAACTATCACATACATTGCATCCAAAAATGAGTGAATAGAATGACCATATACTGTTAATAAAGACAAGGAGGGAACTGTCTCAATATGCAGATTTAAATACTAAACACAAAAAGCAAATTCTGTGTCTACAATAATCTTTGAAGTGTATACAAGTGCATTGCAAATAAATGGGCTTTTTAAAATTTAAGTCCATTTCCTCTTTATTCAAACATTTTCTATACTTAGGACTCCTTTCTCTTATTTTAGAATCTCTTCTTGTTTAGTTTTTTTATTTTTCAAAGTTTCATCATGGCTGGTATCTGTAGAATCTAACCTCTAGCCCAAAGCTGAGACTTCATGCAAACATATTCTGCTTTCAGGTTGCATCTTCACATAGTTTCTCTAAGAGTTCAAGGTTAAAGAGTACAGCTTCCTGTACGTGGCCACTTTTTCCACACGCAGTGGCAGTGCTTCTGTTTCTGCAGGTCTTCTTACACACCTTTTTCTCTTTTTTTCTGTCAACAGCAGTCTCCAAACTTTCAGAACACAAGTGGTAGGTAGTAAAGTGCTTTATACAATGAAATACTATATACACGTGGAGAGGATCCATTTAACACCCCACAGACCAAAGTTCACACACATCACGCAAGAGAAGGCTCTTTTTAAGAAACACCTTTTCTGATAGTAGGGTTGGGAATTCCTTAAAATCTCATTAATTACTTCAAGTAGCACAAATGTAAGTAACATATCTGAAGATGGGAAGAATCCTTGTTAGGTGCATTGGCCTTAATAGACTACTGCTAAATGTCATATTGCTATTAAAATATCTTTGATAGTTATGAATTTCAGAATCAGTCTCATAGAAAGTAGGTATCAGTATTAGGATTTTTCATTCTTCTTTATGAAACAAACTGCATTTAAACATGGGCCCAAAAGAGATACATTAGATAAGGTCCATGCATTGGAACATTTCTATATATTTTGGCACTTAAAAAAATTTCCAGTTTCATTTTTGAGGTCTCCTTTCCATTAAGTTTGTCTTTTGTACGTAGAGACGTGCCATTAAGTGCTACACACCTTTACTGTTACTTGCACTCTCTTTTCAAAATATCCATGACTTTTCTTCCAAGAGATGGTTTCCAGTGCTGGACAAAACTTTTCATATTCACGACTAGTTTGCCTGTTCTTACATCCTCGTGTCCTGCTACAAGGTACTCCAAACCTAAAAGAGAACAATATTAGGGGCTATGTAGTATCATAATTTATTGAAGGGAGAGAGATGACTTTAGCAGTTTTATATATACATGGTTCAAGGTTTTATCAATTCAGAGTTGAAATAGGGAGTCACAGGCAATAATTTGGTAAATATTTTTTATGTGCTAAATGCTTTAAATATATTTTCTTATTTAACCTTAAAAATAACCCTTTGAAGTAGATATCACTTTTCTTCTTTCCTTGTTTTACAAATGAGGACACTGAGGCTTGGCAAGATTAAGAAACAGTGTTTCCCAGTAAGTAGTAGCTCTTTGACTCAAGCTCAGCCCTGTGTGATGGTAGACGTTTTACTCTTTGCTATATACCACAGTCCATAGTGAAGGAGTGAGGATTCTGTGGGTACTTAACATGCTGCTGTAAATCAACAGTGCTTGGAGACTCACTGTATATGGTAGTATATGTTAAGGAGGATTTTATAAAAGTGAAACAACGATTTGGGAAAACATATTGAAAGAAAGAGAGGCCCTGATGGCTCAGCAGTAAGGAATCCACCTGCAACGCAAGAGATGCTGCAGGCGTGGGCTCGATCCCTTGGTTGGGAAGGTTCCCTGGAGAAGGAAATGGCAACCCATTCCAGTATTCTTGCTGGAAAATCTCATGGACAGAGAGGAGCCTGGCGGGGTACAGTCCATGGGCTCACAGAGTCAGACACAGCTGAGCAACTGAACAACAACAACATTGGAAGAGAAACATGGATTATACAAAACAGCACATATCTCCTAGATAAAGTATTTTTGGAATATAGAATGTTTGTTTGACATACTTTTAAAAAATGATGAGACTTGACAGACCCATTGCTGATTTTATAATTCAAAATTCTTTTCAGGCTTCAAGTAAAATTTTTTGGCTAACAAATACAAAAAACCAAAAGGACAATCTCATTATCTATACATTAATAAATAGAAATATGATAATCTCCCTCAGTAGATGTCTTTAGTAATATTAATATTGGTATTTTGAAAGTTTTCTGTAATATTATAGGGTAGAACAAATAAGTAATTGCATTCATAGAATAAAACTGTCCAATATAAGATAAAGAGACATATACTTTAAAACTCAAGGGAAAACACAAGATATTAAAATTCAATTGGAAATATCCATTTAAGCTCCTGATTGTATATATAGTCTGTTCATTCACTGAAGTGAAAGTAAAAGTGCTGGCCTCTCAGTCCTGTCCGACTCTTAGCGACCCCATGCACTGTAGCCCACCAGGCTCCTTCGTCCATGAATTCTTCAAGCAAGAATGCTGTAGTGGGTTGCCATTTTCTTCTCCAGGGGATATTCCCAACCCGGGGATCAAACTCAGGTCTCCTGCATTGCAGGAAGATTCTTTACGGCCTGAGCCACCAGGGAAGCCCCATTTCATTCTCTGAAATGGTTTTAAAAATGTCATTCTAACGGTAAGGGTTACCTATTACAAACATAATGTGGTCTCTAATAACAAGTATCACTAAAAACAACACAAAACAAAGCTTCTCGAAGAAATGCTTTTTCTACAAGGCAGAAAGATACGGGTACGCATGGGACTTATGCCAAAAAGGCTCGTGGGCATCATTTTAAAAGGGCACAGTAAAGGAGTCAGTGAAGGAGGGTTATAACCTGTCAAAGTTATGATAATCTGAGCACCAAGAGCATCGTCATTGTGTGTTAACAAACTGGATCAACAAAAATCCATAATTCCAAAGTGGTACTCAAAAAAGAGAAATCCAGAGAGAAATTAACTTGCCATCTTGAGACAGTTGTTAAAACCATTCCTTACTTTGGAAAATGGTGATTAAAGGAAAAAATTTAGCCTTTATCCTGCTTTTATAATACAAACTATATTTCATGGTAACCTAATAGCCCACCATGGGAGAGGAAGTCCTCTTACAGAATAATGTCATGTAATAAATGAAGGTAATTAGACAAAATTAGAAAAAGCATTTCTCAAACTCAAATTACATTATTCATCCAAGAAGGGACTGCCAATTGTGTGACAAAATCATTAAGTGAATAGTTGATGGGGAACTGGATGTTTGCACAGTGACTAAACAACTCACATTCACTGTTTCCTAGTCTCAAAAGGGAAAACAAAACTCCCCAATGGAGAAATCAGACTGTTCAGTTCGAGCAACCCAGAAGTTTAGACCCACAATGGTGGGTCATCCAGGTACTATGTATCCTGTGATGTGATTTAACATGAAACAACAAAACAATATCTATAACAAGGGCTAGCCAAAATGCTTATCTTGAGTCTATCAAGATAGACTGTAGAGATTACAAGAAAAATAGGAAGTAGAGAGAGAAGTTAAATGACACTACAAAGAACCAACCAAATACAGAAGGTAGGATAATCTACAGAATACCTGGCCTAGTTTTTTCAACAATAATTTCTAAAGCACTATAAAGAAACTCATCATAAATCAAAGATATTTGAGGGACTTAAAAACTAGATACAATTTGTGATTCTGGATAGAATACTGGCAAGGACAAGCCCTAAAGAACATTTTGGGATCAGTTGGGAAATTGGAATATGATCTCAGTATTAGAGTATATAAAAATAAACTAAAATTTAAGGTAAAGATTGTTAACTGAATAAAGTAGGTTGCAGAATGAAGTGTATATTATGACTTCATTTTGGTTAGAAATATAATGTATACATATATAGCGAAATATCTGGAAGGATTCACAGTAGGATGTTAACAGAGATGATCTTTGGAGGACAGAAGTGTAAAATTTAAAAATTTCCCCTAAATTTCTATAATGTACATGTGTTGCTTCTATAATAATAAAAAGGTTATTTAAATTATTAAAAGAAATCAAGATTATTAAAAGAAATTAAGTCTAGGACTTAAAAGCTTTAAGTCCTAAACTTAAAAATAGCTATGATGATTTTTCCAAAAAAAAAAAGAGAGACAAAAGAAAAAGGAAAATAATGACATAGGTTTCAGACACCAGAGAGCAGAAATGTAAGGTGGATTATAAGGTATTTAAATTCCTTAAAGGGTAACCTTAGCTTCTTCAAGAAAAAGAATCCCAGTATTTAATTGACAGACTAGTTGAAACATAATGGTTGTGATATTGTTTTTATCATCCCTAAAATAATAAAATCCTCTTTAAAAATACAATAAATAATTTTTAGGAAACTTTCAGTGTTAAGTCTAGTATTTAGATGAATTTACTTTGAAAGTATAAATAAAACAAATATTATAAGAGTTTGCCATTATATCAAAGTATAAATATAAATTAAACTATGAAAATGATGCTGAATAAATCTGTAAATTATGGAACAGCATCATACCAAAAGTTAGCATGGAAAACACCTTTATCTGTTGTATCACTTATTAGCATTTACATTTAATTTTGATATCTCTTTGCTTTTGACATCTACCTTGCTACAAGTTTGAGGGCATAAAGTTTACTTTGTATCCACAGAAAAAGAAAATATAATATTTTAGTGCTAGTCTTGACATTCTAAAATATTCAATAGATGAATGAGTAAATATATATATGAAAGTAAGAATGAGTGAACTTTTCGGGATGCCAACTAGATTACTCCTTTTCAAAAGTAGCAAAGGAAACAAGTTGGCACGTAAGGTTTCAGAGTTTTCTTATCAGCTTTCTTTGGCCTTAGCTATTAAACTTGTAAAAATGGAAAAACAAAGTGAAAGAGTGTCTGGTTTTGCTTTGGCAAAGTCTTTTCATCAAAGTGAATAAACATGTTTTCAAGAATTCTTTGAATAATTGTGCTTATGTTTTCTATTGTGATGAACTCAGTTGATTCTTTCACTCTGTTTGGCAGAAACCTGATGAGGAAGTATAGTTCACTTCCTGGAGGTGGCTCAGATGGTCAAAGCTTTTGTTTTTAATGTCTTACTAAAAAATGGGGTGGGTTTACTAGTTTTTTTTTCTTTTGCCAGTTTAGTTGAAAGTGCTTATAGGAAGAGCCCCTATGCAGAGATCATTGGGAAATACAACTTAATGACTCAGTCTCCAGTATTCAAAATCTAAGATTCTGATTAGTTCATTTGTTCTTTGGAAACATATTTATATTAAAATGTCTTTTAAATTTTCCTTATTAAAATTTAGATTAATTCAAATAAAATATGAAGAGCTATAAAAAGGGTGTGAGATGTTACTCAACAAAGTCAAGAGTTATATCACTGTTTAGATTGGGGGATATTTTATTGATAGTTTTTCTCTCTCTCTCACTCAGTTATCTGTTTCTCTCAAATTTATTAACCAAAGACCATAAATGACTTCTTAACATAGCTGTGCTTTCCTGGACTTAACTTTGAAAAGAATTAGATCCAGAACACAAATTATGCACCTGTTTCAGCAGTGTCACTAAGATAAAATGGCAACTTTGTAAACAGGGAAGTACAGAAGATTTAGAAAATACATTATTTGTTTTGCTAGAATTCATTATCTGTGTACTGCAGTACTATTATCTGGGAAATAATGGTAGATCCTGGAGACAGTATGGTCAAAAATCTAAATCCCATCCTCAAATTTAATGAGAGAAACAGAGAAATAAGCAGGTTATGACACAATGTGAAGAGTGTGCTTATATAAGGTAAACAGATCAGAATCCCATGCTTACTTGCTTGCCTCTGCGTCTGCCATATTATTTTAAGGTGTAAATTTCCCTCCATTCCGAGTTTCTCTAAGATTCTGTAGTTTTGCTGCTGTTTGTTTATTTCTACTATTCTTGATTTGAAACCAGAATGATCATTTAATGAAAAAGATGATGAAAACTTGAGAGTTGTTTTCTATCCAGAAGAAGCAGATGCTTCCCATGCAATAGTAAAAACGAATTCAATATTATTTGCACAGATGGAATTTTGCCTTTGAATTTCCTTTGGGAGCAAGTTCTAACCAGGGCATTGTAATAGGACCTAGCTTTCCAGTACAGTATTAGTGGCAGAGGAATTCATGAAAATGTTTTCTTTGCTACTGCCATTGGAACCAATCTGAGACTTCTCTTCAAGACAGAAAATATTAAATTGCTGGATTTAAAATATTTTACTTTTATAGAGCATGTGAAAGAGAAAAAAATTTTTGATATCAGTTCAAAGAATTCCGTTTGGACTTTCCCCAGAATTCACTGGTGAAAAGGAGATGCTCTTGCTGAGTTTATTTAGATTGTGATTCAGAGAATGTAAGACAAGCAGCAAATCAGCAGAGACAGAGTAGGGATCAAGCTAGTAACGTCTAATGCTCACCAGGATTGAGGACTGGACAAGTGCAGCCTCTGTTAGTCCATGATTCTGGATACAGCGTTCGCTTTCCTCGTAAAATTTTCAGTTTGGTGGATTTTAAGACTTTTTTAATCTTCACGTTGACCTCAGCATGAGATCCTTTATCATGAGCCGATAAGATCTTTATTTTTAGCACTGTAGGAACACAATTCCAAAAGTCAAAATGAATAGAATTTCATACTACCCTTTGAACTTTGAACAACTTAGATATGCATTTCAGAGTATAATGGAAAAGTGAACTAGTGATTACAATGTGGAAATATGCTTTAAAAATCATTAGGGATTAAGAGGTACACATTTCTATGTATAAAATAAACAAGTTACAACAGGGAATATAACCAATATTTTGTAACAACTGTAAATGGAATATAACCTTTAAAGATTGTGAATCACCAGCTGTACTCCTGAAGCATAATATTATATATTAACTATATATCTCAATAAAAGAAACTCATTAGGCTCATTGATTTTACACTAACTTCATCCAATGTATCTATATTAAATATACTCTTCCTTCTTGGACATTTTCAACTGCTACTTCTTTCCACATCACTGTGTTAAGAGAATATCAACCATTTGTCTACTGCAAATAAATCTTAAGCACATTCAGCTACCAAATATAAAAAGAAAAAAGATGCACAGGAAGTAGAATTGTTATCCTGGCTTTTATTTAGATTCTGACTATATTATACTCTATGGCTGGCTTTGTGTAATGCTATGACAAAGAGCAAAATGTTATTGCCAGGACATATTTTACATAGTCTAAAGAGATTAAATATTACTGGTTATTTAATTTTCCTCCCTGGTGTAAAATTCAAGCTGACTGGGATTAGGAAGCTGTCCTGGGTGATGGTACAGCTCCAGTTTCATGATTCTATTATGCTCTTCCACTTATGAAACAGATGTGGATGGGGATTATGTATATTTTGGGCTATATAAGTTATGGAATTATAAAAGACTCAGACACTAGTCAATGATATGTCAGCAAGATAAGGCATCTTTAATATATGGAAAGTGAAAGTGTTAGTTGCTCAGTCATGTCCAATTCTTTGCAACGCCATGGACTGTAGGGACTGTAGCCCACCAGGCTCCTTTGGGCATGGAATTCTCCAGGCAGGAATACTGGAGCAGGTTGCCATTTCCTCTTCTCCAGGGGATCTTCCCAACCCAGAGATTGAACCAGTGTCTCTAGCATAGCGGGTCAATTCTTTACCATCTGAGCTACCTGTACTTATTTAATAAGAATAAAGCCATTTAGAATTTAAAGATAGTAACAGTCTTTACTTAGGGCAATGACATTTTCCTTTGTCCATACACTTTATTTTCAGGGTATTTGAAAGGTAGAGGAGTAAACAGAGATGGCAGGTAAGAGAGTCAGGCAGAGAGGTAGTCTCAATGCCTTTCCAGTATATTTCTCCTTCCCTCCTACCACTTACTGAGCATCTAGTATGTGCAAGGAAATGTGTTGTATGGTTTTCAAAAATCTCATTTCATGGGGAAGAGGGCATCATCCCTGTTTTACAGATGAAGAAGTTTGGAGATGTTAAGTTACCCACCCAATAAACCAGAAATAAAACCCACGTAGGTCTGAATCCAAAGCCTGAGCTTTTAATCACTGTGAATACACTGCTTTAAACTGATTTCTGCTTAGTAGTACTACTGGCAAAGGAATCAATGAAGTGGCTAGAGACCTTCCTTTTCGATTACTAAAACAAGAATCATTCATGGGAAAGGATTACATGTCAAGATTTTGTTGTTGTTGTCTGCCTCTTTTCCACATAGTAGGATAACCTTGCTTTTGCTCTAAAAGCATCCTACTCTCACTAAGACATTCAAAACCATCTCTCTTAGGAAAATCTAGGTCAAGACTAGAATACTATATTTACTACTGTTATATAAGACTAATGCTTTGATTTATTGAGAATGTCATAAACCAAGCCACTCATTTCCTTCAACACTTTTTGTACAGGTAGTTTGAATAGATCCTTGGAAGCACTCATGGACTTCAGACTCACCATATGAGTATTTCATTCCACAGAATGCCTTGGAGTTTCCTAACACCTGTTCCTTACATTCACATTTACCTGAAGAAAGTAAATAAACATGGTGTTGGTAATTTGAAAACAAAGTAAAAAAAAAAAAAAATCAGCAAGTAAATCCAAGTGGCATAACCTTTTAAGACTTAAGTGATCCGTACAATATAATCCATAAGAAACCATGAAAAGTCTCTCAAAAGAAAACTATTTTAATTGAATTAGTTATCACCCAATAAAGTATTGACCTAAGAGAAATATAGAAATGTAGAAACAATGATATATTTTAATGCTTGTAACTGATGTAGGTAGATACAGAGATGTGAGAAACATTGACATATTGGCTCTAGCTAAATTTCTTGAGAAATCAGAGCACAAGATTTGCAAGCTGAAAATCACAGTGGGATTAAATAGTGGGAAAGATAAATCAAAGGTGCTTAAAATGAGCTGTTGTGATTTGTTCAATAATATTGCTTATCATCTAAACAAAGTAGAGGATTGCTCATGCAGAAATTGTAGCAACCTGAGTGGATACCTCATGGCCTTGGATGATTCCACCAAAGAAGGAGAGTATGCTAACTACCATGTTAATTGAACTCCAAATGCTAAATGAACTCCAAAACCTATTTGAACTCCAAATGGCATATCTTTTTAAAACAATTATTTATTTAGTTATTTGGCTGTACTGGGTCTTTTTCACAGTTGGCTTAAATCTCAACATTCAGAAAACTAATATCATGGCATCTGGCCCCATCACTTCATGGCAAATAGATGGGAAAACAATCGAAACAGTGACAGACTAGTTTTGAGGGCTCCAAAATCACTGCAGATGGTGACTGCAGCCATGAAATTAAAAGACGCTTGCTCCTTGGGAGAAAAGCTATGACCAACCTAGACAGCATATTAAAAAGCAGAGACATGACTTTGCCAACAAAGGTCCATCTAGTCAAAGTAATGGTTTTTCCAGTAGTCATGTATGGATGTGAGAGATGGACTATAAAGAAAGCTGACCACCAAAGAATGGATGCTTTGAACTGTGGTGTTGGAGAAGACTTTTCAGAGTCCCTTGGACTTCAAGGAGATCCAACCAGTCCATCCTTAAGGAAATCAATCCTGAATATTCATTGGAAGGACTGATGCTGAAGTTGAAATTCCAATACTTTGGCCACCTGATGCAAATAACCAACTCGTTTGAAAAACCCTGATGCTGGGAAAGATTGAAGGCAGGAGGAGAAGCGAACGACAGAGGATGAGATGGTTGGATGGCATCACCAACTCAATGGACATGAGTTTGAGTAAACTCTGGGAGTTGGAGATGGACAGGGAGGCCTGGCGTGCTGCAGTCCATGGGGTCGCAAGAAGTCAGACACAACTGAGCAACTGAACTGAACTGGGTTTAGTTGTAACACGTAGGATCTTTGCTAGGGCATGTGGGATCTTTCAGTTACGGCATGTGAACTCTTAGTTGTGGCATGTGGGACCGAGTTCCCTGACCAGGGATCAAGCCTGGGCCCACAGCATTGGGAGCACAGAACCTCAGCCACTGGACCGCCAGGGACGTGCCCTCCCTGCCACCAACGGCACATCTTATTTCTCAGTGTAATGCTCCTTCAGCCACAAGGACATGAGTGAGGAGGGACAACACAGGGCTGGGGGGGCGGCGGGAGGTAAAACCTGCTGAGTGAGAGGCTCAAGGGTGTACTGTACAACGTGGGGAATTGAGGGGATATTCTGCAGTAACTGTGAACGGAAAGTAACCTTTAAAAATTGTATGAAAATAAAAAAGGGGAAAAAAGAAAAAATTTTTTAAAGAACTTGAATAGGTCTGTTATTTGAAAACCTTTTCTTGGCTGCTTTCCAATACTCCCTTTTCATATGCTAAGAAATCAGACATTAAAATTTGAATAAATCTTTCTTGATTAGGCCTCAGCCCAGATGTGTTTTCTTAAAAGAAATCTGGAAGAGGAGGAAAACTTATTTAGTTATACTGGGTTGTTAGAATGTTTCAAAAAAGAAGTATTATTTATAGTTCTGTTGTACTAGTTAAAGCCAGTTAAGTGACATTTTCATCTGATATTCTCCATCTCACAAGACATGGTAGAAATTAAGAGTATCTTCATGTAGTGCATTATATTCCTAGTATGGAAACATGGCAGATAAATAGATAGGTAAGCAAAGTTGGAGAATTTGAAAAACCATTAGAAAAATAGAAGAAATCTTTCAAAATCAATTGTTCAAACATAAAATTCAGACTAAGTAGCATTAAGGCACAAAATTAATGGGAAAGATTTTTCCTTTTCAAATGCTAAAAAGATACATACAACAACTTCATATTATCTAATCTTTCCTACCTTCTTTCCTGTTGTAAATTAAAGTGACACCAATTAAGAAAATGATCTTAAGATTAAGTGAAAAAAAAATCATGATACAAAATTGCTGATATTGGGTGTTCTTGATTCTTGAAAGATCCATAATTTTCTATGAGAACACATTAAAACTGTGGTTTCTTAACTCTGCTCCAGCCACACTTGCCTCCTTGCTGTTTCTTAAACAAGCCAGGCCTAGGCTTCCCAGGTGGTGCTAGTGGTAAAGAACTGCCCGCGAATGCAGGAGACATAAGAGACTTGGGTTTGGTCCCTGAGTTGGGAAGATCCCCTGGAGGAGGGCATGGCACTCCAGCATTCTTCCCTGGAGAAATCCCACTGACAGAGGAGCCTGGTGGGCTAAATAAAGTCTCTAGGGCTGCAAAGAGTCAGACACTGCAGCGACTGAGCTGGCACGCAAACAGTCTCAGCCCAGGGCTGCTGAACTTGCTTCACCTCCTGCCTAAACGCTTTCCTCTTGTATCTATATAGCTCATTCCCTTACCTTTGTCAGGTTTTTTTTCCCTCAAAAGTCCTTTCATAGGACTTTTCTGATCACCCTATTTAGAAGTATGTCCCTCTCAAGTCCTTCTTTTCCTCCATCCCTGCTTTATTTCTCTGTTATACTAAACATCATTAAATATTTCATTTATTTATTAGCTATCTTCCTCTGCATGAATGTAACCTCCTTAGAGACTGAGACTTTTGTCTGTTCAATTACTCTATTTGCAGCACTGGCACATAGCATAGGCTACTCAGTAAATATCTGCTAAAAGAATGAGTTTATAAAGAACACTTACAAATTAGTAAGAAAATTACAAACAGGAAATTCACAGAAAAAGAAACCTGAATGTCCCAGAAGTCATGAAAAATTACTAATCAGGAAAATGCAATTAAAATGGCAAGCTCCCATTTCACACCCTTTAGATTGGCAAAAATGTAGAGGTTTGATAACATTAATTTTAGAAGTCCAATAAATATTAACTGAGTTAAACTGCCTGAGTGAATGAGTTATGATAGTGCTTGGCCCCTTGTATATGCTGTATAGATATTTGTGAAATACATACAAAGTATTAGTGAGGATGAACAACAGAATGTCATTTTTGCTGGTGGAATGCAAATGGATACAACTTGAGAGAGCTATTTGGCAGTAAATGATAAATTTGACAGTAAGCACTCTTGCAACCCAACAAAATTCCAGTTGAGCTATTTCAAATCCTGAAAGATGATGCTGTGAAAGTGCTGCACTCAATATGCCAACAAATCTGGAAAACTCAGCAGTGGCCACAGGACTGAAAAAGGTCTGTTTTCATTCCAATCCCAAAAAAGGCAATGCCAAAGAATGCTCAAACTGTGCAATTACACTCATCTCACATGCTAGTAAAGTAATGCTCAAAATTCTCCAAGCCAGGCTTCAACAGTACATGAAAGTACATGAAATTTGAACTTCCAGATGTTCAAGCTGGTTTTAGAAAAGGCAGAGGAACCAGAGATAAAATTGCCAATATCCGTTGGATCATCAAAAAAGCTAGAGAGTTCCAGAAAAACATCAATTTCTGCTTTATTGACTATACCAAAGCCTTTGACTGTGTGGATCACAACAAAAACTGTGGAAAATTCTTAAGAAATGGGAATACCAGACCACCTGACCTGCCTCTTGAGAAACCTATATGCAGGTCAGGAAGCAACAGTTAGAACTGGACATGGAACAACAGACTGGTTCCAAATCGGGAAAGGAGTACATCAAGGCTATATATTGTCACCCTGCTTATTTACCTTCTAATGAGAGTACATCATGAGAAACGCTGGGCTGAATGAGACACAAGCTGGAATCAAGACTGCCAGGAGAAATATCAATAACCTCAGATATGCAGATGACACCACCCTTATGGCAGACGGTGAAGAAGAACTAAAGAGCCTCTTGATGAAAGTGGAAGAGGAGAGTGAAAAAGTTGACTTAAAACTCAACATTCAGAAAACTAAGATCATGGTATCTGGTCCCATCACTTCATGACAAATAGATGGGGAAACGGTGAGAGACTTAATTTTGGGGGGCTCCAAAATCACTGCAGATGGTGACTGCCACCATGAAATTAAAAGATACTTGCTACTTGGAAGAAAAGTTATGACCAACCTAGACAGCATATTAAAATGCAGAGACATTACTTTGCTAACAAAGGTCCCTCTAGTCAAGGCTATGGTTTTTCCATTAGTAATGTATGGGTGTGAGAGCTGGACCATAATGAAGGCTGAGCATTGAAGAATTGATGCTTTTGAACTGTGGTGTTGGAGAAGACTCTTGAGAGTCCCTTGGACTTCAAGGAGATCCAACCAGTCCATCCTAAAGGAAATCAGTCCTAAATATTCATTGGAAGGACTGATGCTGAAGCTGAAATTCCAATACTTTGGCCACCTAATGAGAAGAACTGACTCACTGGAAAAGACCCTGATGCTGGGGAAGATTGAAGGTGGGAGGAAAAGGGGATGACAGAGGATGAGATGGTTGGATGGCATCACCGACTCAATGGACATGAATTTGAGTAAACTCTGGCAATTGGTGATGGACAGGGAGGCCTGGTGAGCTGCAGCCCATGGGGTCACAAAGAATCAGCCACGACTGAGTGACTGAACTGAATGGAACTGAACACTTGTGACCCAACAAAATGAGATTGTATCTTAGAATAAGGATCAGCAAACATTTTCTATAAGGATCAGATAATAACATTATAGAGTTTGTGAACCACAGGGAAAAATTAAAGATTTTATGTAGGTATTTATGTAACCACTTAAAGTGCAACTGTTTAAACCTTAGAGCAGTTAGCTTTAGCCTGCAGAAAAGTATAAGGCAGGCCAGATTTGGCCTGAGGGCTGTAGTTTGCCAGCCCCTGATCTAGTGAAACTCCTTCTCAAGTACACAATATGACATATATAGGAAAACATTCATGGTAGCACTATATGTAATAGTGGAAAATTGGAAATTAGAGATAACCTAAATGGGAGAATAAAAATGGATAAATCTAAAAAAAAGTACACACTTAAGTAAAAATAATTTTAAGGGGTAGGTAAGTTATCATGTACATAAAATTTTAAAAATATTAAATAATATACTAATTATATACTATTTACTATATATATAGTAAAATAGTAAAAATATGAAAGTGAATGGTGAACATCAAAATTCAAGTTAGCAGTTATTCTGTGGCATAAAGAAGGCTAATTGAGTTTGTAGATTGGTACACCTAGGGCTTCAAATGTATCTGTAATATCTTATAATTTAAATGAAAATATGGCTTCCCAGGTGGCACTAGTGGTAAAGAACCCACCTGCCAATGCATGAGACACAAGAGATGTGGGTTCCATCCCTGAGTCAGGAAGAACCCCTGGAGGAGGACATGGCAGCCCACTCTAGTATTCTTGCCTGGAGAATCCCTGGTGGGCTAAGTCCATAGGGTTGCAATGAGATGGACACAACTGAAGTGACTTAGCACAGGAGAGAATTATTGCAAAGTTAAGATTTGATAGCATTACAAGGTGTTCATATAGGTGTTCATAATTGCTGTTTGTGATGTTTAATAATAAAAATATTTTAAAACTTATTTTAGGTTTTATTTGGATGATTTGGTGATCACTTTACAGCCAAATGCTGACAAAATTTTTTGTACACATTTGCATTTTTGATAAGAGTAAGTTGGTGCTAAATAGAAACACTTGGTTTTCTATCAGAAAAGAATACAGACAGGATGAACCCAGAAATTATGCAGTCACACCAATATCCCAGCATGCCCCTCAAATGACAGAGCAGATAAATATCAGAGCAAAACTGAATCAGAAGAAAGAGCAGTATAGACTTGATGAGCTCGAAGAATCATCTTTATGTAGTAAACAGTGTTTTGACTTCAGTAAAAATCATTTTTTATATTCAGTTAATGTTGTTAATATGAATTCTATTAGTTTTATTTGGCTTATATTTAGTTTATAAAATTACTTTTGTTTTAGAGCTGTAACAAAACTATAAACATAAGGCGTTCACAGCTAGTTTTTGCTTTGTACATACTGAGTTACACTAGGTCTATAGGAATATTTTTCCTTTAAATGGATCTGTACATTTCCATCAAAACAGTATATTTTAGAGAGAAGTAAACACACCAAAGTACTAAGAGTGGGATAGTGAGATTTGGGTATTTTTTTTTACTTTGATATTTTGTGTTTTCCAATTTTTTACTCTAATTATATGTTATTCTACCAATAAGAAAATTTTAAAAGCTTGTTAAATACCATTAGTTATATTTAATAGTTTTATACTTATGGGGTTCACCACCTGGTTAACCTCAAAACTAAAGCATTCCCCTTATAATATCCAAAATCTGTTCTCTGGTTTGTCATGGATCACTGCTACTTGAGACCAGACCCAGAAATATTGTCTCCAATTATACCTCATGTCCCACCTGAATGTCGAAGTGCAGAAAATCCTTGCTCATCCTTCCACTCCCAGGCTGGCTCACTCTCATTGTGCATGGAATGGAAGTCAGGAACTTCATGATACCAGTCTATGTCTGTGCTGCTAATAAAACAGAAAATGAGGAAGAACGTATTAAGGAATTTCTTGGAACTTGAATGAAATGACTATATTTATAGAGATTTAAACCTTGTCAGCTATGTTTCTATCTTTTCACTTTTCAGAAATAAATAGTATCATAAAGGGCCTATTGTTAAAAAGAATAATTCATCTTGCAAAATGAACCAGACCATCTCTAGAATCTTGCAAGCACAATTTACTTGACTCTGCAATTTGACAAAAATTCTTTAAAGAGATGTGAAACTACATCTCTGCTCCTCCAGTGGCATGCAAGGTTTTCCAGATCACCATCAGATCTTCAAAAGAATCTGAAAGACACAGAGATGAGAGCAAGAGCCATGCTTGTTCACCTGCTGAGGCAGTCTCCTGTATGAGAGTCGCAGCTCCCCGCACAGTCACAAGGCCGGCAGCCGTAGTCTCCGAAGCCCCAGTACCCCACCATGCACCTCTCACAATGTGGCCCTGCCACCCCAGGCTTGCAAGGGCAGTCACCATTGCTGGGGTCACAGAAGGTCACCGAGCTGAAAGGAAGGACAGCTGATCCAACTGGATGACAGGAACACACTACAGCAGAGAAGACACGGGAGCAGCAGTGAGTGAACCAGCTATCTGCAGAGACTGGTCCCCAACTGTTTCCTCCCACCACACAGCACATCTCTGAGGCCTCTCCTTTACTCACTTAATGTATGCTCAGCGAGTGAAAGCTAATTAAACTGCAGCTAAGAAGAATCATCAGAAAAGCACATCTGCTGCTAAGCCACCTAATTTATCCTAAAAGTAAAGGCATTAATATGAATGGCTTTTTGGGGTGATGAGGATGAATAAGCAAAGAAGACAAAAAAAAGCAGTTAGCGAGAAAGAAAAAAAATCATGAGTGCATGGTGTCCTGGAAGCCAAAGCTTCAAGGAGGTGGGCAACATCAACTGTTAAATGCTGTAAGTGCAAGCAGATGAGGGGCAGGAATGGATCACTGCACCTCACAGCATGAAGACCACTGGTGTCCATGACAGGAACAGTTTCAGTGTAACAGTGAGTAGTGAACCTCATTGAAGAAAACTCAGGAGAGAATGAGTAGAGGAATTTGAGCATGAAAACAGACAGCGCTGTTGAGAGCTTTTCTATAAGGGCACAGAAATGGGGTGCTAGCTTAAACTGGAGATAGGAACTGGAGTGAAGGTTTCAGTTTTTGTCTGTTTTGTTTGTTTTAAGATGGGGGAAATTACAGCATGCTTGATGTTGGTGGACAAGATCCAGTATAAAGGGGAAAACTGATGAGTAAAAGAGAGATGGGAGAATTTTTAAAGGGATATTTGGGCATACTTGGGTAAGGATAAAAGGATGGGATTTGGTGTAGAAGAGGAGGTGTTGGCTTTGGGTAGGAGCATAATTAGTTCATAGTAATAAGATGCAAGGCAGAGCATGTGGATACAAGTGCAGGGAAGTGGATAAATGCCATGGTGGGAGCTGGGACTTTTCTTCTGACTGCTTGTTTTCTGAATGAAATAGAAAGCTATGTCATCAGGTGAGAGAGATGATGAAGAATGGGAGTTGGAAAGTGACTGAGAGACTTAGGAAGTAAAGTATAATTGCCAGCAGCATAAAGGGCACCTTTTGAGATTAGCAGTCATGAATTCATAGTGACTGGACAAAATGATTGGTTGCTTCTTCAGTTCTGCACGACTGGCGGAGTTCAGATGTGGCACAGGAGGAAAGCTGGATTTGACTTGCTGATTGTCTGTGTCCTTCCCACTACATTTGCATCTTGAAGCCTAATCCCCACTGTGATGGTATTAAGAGGTGGGAGGCCTTTGGGAGGTTTGGATACAGTTGAGGGGAGATGAGACTGGGGCCCTTATAAGGGACAAAGAGTGCAGAGCTCTCTTCCTTGTGAAGGGTGTGAGGCAACAACAGAAGTCGGCAGTCTGCAATGCAGAAGAGAGCTCTCACCAGAACCGAGCCATTGCTGGCATCATGTTGCAGACTTAGACCTCCAGAACTGTGAGAAATAAAGGTTTTTGTTTAAGCCACCTGCCTACCTGTCTGCTAAGTCGCTTCAGTCGTATCCAACTCTTTGCAGCCCTGTGGACTGTAGCCCGCCAGACTCCTCTCTCCTGAGATTCTCCAGTCAAGAATCCTGGAGTGTGTTGCCATTTCCTCCTCCAGGGGATCTTCCCCACCCGGGGACTGAACACGTGTACCCTGTGGCTCCTGCTTGGGCCGAAGGATTCTTTACCACTGAGCCACATGGAAAGCCCTTAAGCCACCTAGTCTATGATATTTTGTTACAACAGCCTGTACAGGCTAAGACGGCTCCTCAGAATAGAATCTATAATTACCATTTCTGCAAGCTCTTTATATTAATCAAGAGTCCTGCTCCTCAGCCCTGTGGACAGAGGAGCTGGTGGGCACGACTTGGCACATATGCAGTAGCCGACCAACAGCGCTGTGACAGTTTCAGCTTGCTTGTTTCACGCCTTCCAGATGGTTAACCACTCTCGCTTCTACACTGCTTCTGTTCTTTACCTGTATTTCTATTTTGTGTGCATCACAGTGCATCATTATTATTTGTTTATGTGCCTGTCTCCCTTATTACTAGACTGAACTCTCTGACAGAAGTGTCTTTATCTTCTTATTTTGGCTTTCTATACCGCAGAGCAGAGTCCGGAATACAGTAGATGCCCAAATAAGAATTTATGGAGTTGACCTGAAGGTCATTCCAGGCTGTGGGAGTCGTATGTGAAAGTGCCTGTTTGAGGAATGCGAGAAGTTTAGTGTGTTTAGAGTGTCCATTTAGGGGAAAGCAGTTGGAACTGATACCATTGCTGTTGTTTAGTCTCTCAGTCATGTATGACTCTTTGAGACTCCATGGATTATAGCCTGCCAGGTTTCTCTGTCCATGGGATTTTTCCAGGCAAGAAAGAATACTGGAGTGGGTTGTCATTTCCTTCTCCAGGGGATCTTCCCAACTGATGAAGCAGAAGAAAAAGTGTAGTTAGATTTGGAGTCAGACCATGGCAGAACCTAACCTAAGAAGTTGAATTTTGTCTTAGGGGTATAAAGAATCATAGGAAGGAAACTGTTTAAAAAAAAAAAAAAGCAGAATCATGACATGGTTAGAATTTAATTTTGACAGTTACTTTGGTGACATCATAAAGAGACTACCGTAGGGAGGGACTGATGTCAGGGAAACCAAACAAATGAGAGAGAACAAGGAGCTGAACTAAGACAGCAGGTGAAGGAAGAGGAGAAAAGGCTGGGTGTGAAAAGCAATTTAAATATTGAATTGATAGGATTCAGGGGCTGGATGATGAGGAAGAATGCATTGTTGAGGGACAGCAGAAACTGAGGAAGATTTTAAGGTTTCTAGTTTATGAAAGTGAATAGAGCAGGTTGGGGTAGGTGAATCCATGTTGGGGTGGAGATAAGGAAGAGAGGGGGAAAAATATGAGTTCAGGGTTAGACATATTGAGATGTCTGAAGAATACAATAATAAGTTATACTGTGTGTGTATATGCTTAGCTGCTCAGTCATGTCCAAATCTTTGCGACCCCGTGGACTGTAGCCCACCAGGTTCCTCTGTTCATGGGTATTCTCCAGGCAAGAACACTGGAGTGAATTGCCATGCCCTCCTTCAGGGCATCTTCCCAACTCAGTGATTGAACCCAGGTCTCCTGCATTGCAGGTGGAATCTTCACCATCTGAGCCACCAGGGAAGCCCAATAAGTTATACCAAGCAACTGGAAATAATACTCTGAAGTGTAACAGAAGGCTGGAGTCACAAATACAGTTTTGAGAATTGTCAGCAGATGGGAATTGAAACTAGGACTACTGGGTGAGATTTCCCAGAGATAGTACACAGAATAAGAAGATAACCAAAGTGGAACACTGGTGAACACCCACATAGTCCAGGCAGTGGGAGGAGAAGTAACTTGTGAAGCAGATAAGGACCAGATAGAAAAGGAGAAGAATCAAGTAGGTGTTGTTATGAAAACCAAGCGATTAACAATGTCAAACAAAGCAGAATATGTAAGTCACATAAGATACATAGTAGGCCAGTAACGCTGTCACACAGGAGGGCATCGGTGACTTGGAGGAACAGGATCTGAAGAAATGGCGGTATTAATGGTATAGTATTCTGTTTAGATCTCCCTCACTTTGTTAAGCCTATAATCATTAGGGTAGTAGTTTTCAAACCAGCAGGAATGTGAGAAGTCTGCAAAAGTTCTATACATGTTATACCTGTGAAACATACCTTTCCTTTCCTCTCTTATGCTCCCGTTGGTTGAGAACCACTAAAATAAGAACATGGAATATTGCTCTTTTTAGAAACAAAAGGTATAAATTACCTTCTTGGGACTATTCATTTATTTGCTTACTCAACCAACATGTGTTAGTTAATAATTCTAATGTTTATGAGGCATTTGTAGTTTACAAAACACAACTACCCCTTAGTCAAATATTTAAGGTCCTTCATACTATGGCCCTAGCCCCCTTTTCTACTCTAACTTCTCATTACCCTCTTGCGCACAGCCCTTATTCTAACTGAATGCGATGAATTCTTGCAATTAGGCTTTATTCAAATTAAGTGGAACCCCAATCTTTCCTGCTTTTTGTACCTTTATGAGTCCCAATAGGGAAATCTTTTCTCCTACATCTATCTTTCAAAATTCTACACATCCTTTAAGATCTATTCAAGTGTCAACCCTTAAGACTGTCTCTGGAAGGCCATGGTCAAAATGATTCAATGATTTGGAGTAGTGGAAATGCTCATGGTAGAAGCCCTATTTGCATCTTTCTTATAAAGACAGAACCTCACGGTTGAAATTCAGTGATATTCAGAAAAGATGCATCACCCTTCCCGCTGCAACCCCCTCCCACCCCACCAAGTATGAAGCCCAAAGCAGCCATTCCATTTATCCATCTAATGGGCAAGTTTACCTTAGAAATCATTCCCTATTTCAACATAGTTGAATATGATTTCATCCTTTGTTTGAAACCCCTTAGTGCTTTAAAAATAGCATTTTTTGTTATAGCTCTGCTCACTTCTACTTTGCATTTCAGACAGTCAGGTGTCTACTTTTCTCTGACCAACCAGTATGTAAATTCCTTGAAGGTGAGCATGGGCTTCACTCACCTACCCCCTGAAGTCTTCAGTGGAGACTTGAGTTCGACTCCAAGCTAAATTTTTTATCTTTATGAGCCTCACGTTTCTATTTTACCAGGTTGTATTAAGAATTAAATGAGTCATATTGTATGTCCCTAGGACTTAACAGGCAACTAGAAGATAGCAGATTCTGGCTACTCAATAGAAGACTGTTTATTTGAATTAAAAGGCAGTGATGAAAAAGCTATTTACAAAGGGCAGTAGAGGAAAACACCGTAACAGACATTGCTTGAAAAGATAAGTGTGCGTGTTTGTTTAAGGTAGCGTTTATTTATCTGTTCACTTATTCAGTAGGCATTTAATGAGCACTTACTGTGTGTTAAATACTGAACAAACTCCCAGGCACCAATTTGATATTTTTGGCTTTTAAAGATATCCAGAATTTAGCAAAATAATTATT